ATAACTAAAATCAGAAAGTGTGCACGTTACCCCCGAACTTACAGAAATGAAAAGGATTGCAAGGGAAAACTCAGTGAATGCAGCAAAGGCATTTGACAAAAAGCAACAACAGCCTTTCATGATAAAAACACTCAGAAGGCTAGGAGTAGAAGGGAACTTTACTCATGATACAGGGCATTTGTGAAAAACCCACAGCTAGTATTATTCTCGTGGTAAATGACAGCAAGTTTCAGCCCTAAAGACAAGAACAAGAAAAGGACACCTCATCTTCCTTGAATGTGTTCCCCCAAAGTTCGTATGTTGAAACTCTACCCCCCATCATGGTGGTGTTTGGAGGCGGGGGGCCTTGGGAGGGGTGAGTAGATAGATTATAGACAATGGAATGGACTAGATGAGGGCCTGCGGGTAGAGTCCTGACGGGTTTAGTGTCCTTGTAAGAGGGACCAGAGAGCTGGCTGCAAACCGGAAAGATGTTCTCACGAGCACCTGACCGTGCTGACACCCTGACCTCTGACTTCCAGACTCCAAGAACCGTGAGAAAGAAACGTTTATCCTGTTGTAGTGGCCTGCGTTGACTAAGACACCCGCTGTCGCCACTGCTTCACAGTATTATGCTGGAAGTTCAAGTCAGCACAGTTAGACAAGAAACAGAAATAAAAGAATTGAAATTGGAAAGGACAAAGAAACTATCTCTAATAACGTGATCCTGTATCTAGAAAATCCCAAGGAAGCCACAAGAAAAAATTTAACAAGCTTAAATACTCGTACACTGCAAACTATAAAAATTGCTGAATTAAAGATGCTCTGGATCAATGGAAAGATATCTATGTTCATAGACAGGAAGACCAAATATTAAGAGGTCAGTATTATGCAGAGTGATCTACAGAGTCAGTGCAACGCCGATCAAAATCCCAGTAGCCTTTTTTTCTTTTTTTGGACAGAAACAGAAACCTGATCTTCAAATTCATATAAATTGCAAAGGACCCCAAATAGCCAAAATAATCTCAGAAAAGGAGCGTAAAGTTGGAGGACTCATAATTCTTAATTACAAAGCGACAGCAATCAAAACAAGGTGGCACAGGCATAACAATATAGACCAATGGACTAGAATTGAGAGTCTAGAATAAACCTATACGTCTGTGGCCAGTTGAGTGTTGACAGGGGTGCCAAGTCCATTTAATGGGAGAAGCGATAGTCTCTTCAACAAATAATGCAGCGACAACTAGATTTCCAGATGCAGGAGAATGAAGTTGGACCCATATTTCACATCGTGTCCAAAAATTAACTCAGAGTAGACCATCCTACTCTTTCC